TGTGGAGAACAATAGAAAATTATATTCAAATATAAAATCTGAGAGTGTCATTTCCAGCAATCTAGAGGTAGCATAATGGTACAATTTGTTCTGTCAGCCCCAACCATGGTAGACATGAGATCGTATTGACCCTCTGTTTTTTAAAGTCCTTCCCTGGGCCCCCCTCTGTTTCAAATTCCTCGATCCACCACTTATGATATAACATCTTGCATTTTACCATCATCTTGCATTTTAACATCATTTTGCATTTTACCATCATCTTGCATTTAACATCATCATCTTGGCAAAATTGTCATATAAAACCTGATAGTCATATAAAACCTGATAGTGTGACCAGGACTTAACAAGATAATTTCTTTTCAGATAGCAACGACTGGAAACAGATCTTTGAAGAGGTTAGTAGCTCAGAGAATTAGGAAGGGGAAGAAGATGTCAACATCATGGAGGTCAGGGATTCCCAGCAAGACATGGAGGAGTTCAAAGTACAAAATGTCACTGATGCTCTCAAAGGATTAGAAGCGGCTGTAGATCAAGATAACACAATCACAGAAGACAGCATGCAGCATGAGAGTAAGTTCTCCCCCGCCCCCTTCCATCAGCCCCCACTCCATTTCTATACCCCTAGATACACCACTGGTGACAACACAACACGTGACACACCTTTGTTACTGAGAATATAAATATGTTATATGTCAATTTCTTGTTTTAGTCACTTTTTGTCCTTGAGCAGATTGCTTATAAAACAGTCTTAACGAGTAGTCTTAACTCCTCGAATAAAGCCGGCTTTATCACGGTTAGACTGCTTTGAGTATTGAAATTCAAACAAGCACTCACTGGAAAAGTAAAATTGAGGGCGCAGTTACACATACGTCATGCTTGTCTAATCCAATGACGTAGGGTAGTAGTGTGAAGCGCTTAGAGGCCTTGTTGCCATTAAGCGCTATATAAATCTAATACCTGTATATTATTGTTATATCAAAATGAACGTAAATAAACGTAGATTGGTTTTTACAGAAGCTGAGCAACCACACAGATAGCAAACTTCTAGTTTTATGTGCTCAATCAAATCAAGCTTTTCATCTAGGCCTATCTATCTAGATTCTAGTCTATTTAACCGGAGACCTGTCTACCATACTGTAGAGTTTTTTAATTGAGCGGATGATACCTCATAAACCAGCTCAAATTTGCGTAGAAAATTGCTAGGAAAATAGGAGCGCAGAAAGTAAATACATTTTTTATATATTAAGATTAGGTTAAAGCCTAATTTTTGGCAAAATATGCACGGAAATTGTCCCTTATTTTCCAAAATGCACGGACGGATTTCTAGGCTAGATTTTGCGCGGATTATATATTCCCCACGCAGGCCTTACTATACAGTCTGGCTTGTCTGTAGGCTTAGGACTTGCACTTGCATGAGAACGCCCGATCGGTTAGCAGTATCCGGATACCGCTAACGGTTAGCAAGCGCTATCGGTTAGCAAGTTGAGCGCGTTTTTATCATCAACCAATCGTACGCGTTTACAATTTCCAGTTTCTTATTGGCCAGTGATTCGATCATCATATTTTTGGTATCTGGATCGGGATTTTCTCGTATGGACGCACAGCAGCTAACGGTTAGCAGGATCCGGATCCTGCTAACCATTAGCAGCCGTGTGAGAACAAAGCCATTGACATCTGGTTCATGTGGGAAACACAAGTGTCAAGGATAAAATATCCATAGAATTCTACGGTACGGTACTACGGTATTACACTATTAGCTTAAATTTCTCCCTCCCCCAATTAATTGCCATTTTCTAATAACAAGCCCTGCTATATAAATGTATATTTGTGAATATTACTATGTATAGTGTAACTAAATCTTTGTAGTAGTTGTTCAGTTCTAATTGTTGATGGCTGATTAGATTAATAATTGATATGATTTATATAGCCCCTTCCTACAAAATGAACAAGACGCTGAATCTCAACAAATGCAGCAAATGAGAAATGAATTTAAATAATTGCAGAGTCAAAGCCAGAAGCTCTTTGACAGCCGGCATCCGCTCCATCATCATCTTTCTTTACTCTGCAGAACCTCTTGTGAGCCTACTCTGACAGATGTACAATTTATTTGATCAAATGTCAGACACAAATTAACTCTTAGTCTGATCCGACATTGGGCCCGTTCGGACGAGTAAAGTTTTACCGGGTGCTTCCAACTGAGAGGCCAGGTGTGGCTTGATGAAGTGACGCTGCTGGCGTGCTGATTGTCATTGAAAATTATCTGTTGCTCGTGCCTTGTTAACTTGCATTCTCCAAGGAATTGTGTCTGGTATGGTAGGTGCAGTGTGTGCTCCTAAAAATAGTGCAATAAACAATACCGTAAATGTTTGAATAAGCGATGCACCAAACCTGATTTTTTTCAGCTAAGCACTGCAGCACTTAATTGATAGTACCATAGGCGTAGACCCCGGGGATGGGGGGATATATCCCCCCCCAATATTTGACAAGGGGGGGATGGTCCATTGTATCATCCCCCCCCCCCAATATTTTGACTATGTATGAGATAAAATGGAGCTTTACACACTTCAAAAGACTGTCACAGTCTGTTTGCACTGTCTTATGCGCTTACAAAGATGACAATTAGCATAATGTATTAATGTTAAAGAGGAATTTATTGATTAGGCCTATAATAGCAAATTGCATCAATTTATTTTGCAAAAACAAGGTTTCCACCTTCAGAGGTGGGGGGGGGGGCACATCCCCTGTCCGCACAAGGGCACACATTGGCGCTAACACCAGGCGCATAACAGGGGTTTTGGGTCGGAGGCCGGGTATTTCCCGGTTAGTAATTTACCATACCCACCCCACCCCACTCCCCATATAGAAAACAATACGACATAGGGCTTATCTTATTTATAATATAAGCCACACACGTGTGTTTGAAACTAAATATAAGCATTTTCATGATGGTTTTATTTATTACAAACATTCTTTCACCATCAATACACATTGAGGCCCTTCTTTTAGGTTAAATCGATCTATCTTAAATTTGTCTTTCTTGAGTTTGGGATTATTATGTGTTTAAATAACTTAAAAGGATAAAAAAAAAGCCCTAAAAAATGTGCGCCTAATATTTTTGTGTTTTTAATTATAATTTCGTCGGAATTGAGGAAAACTCCCTAAAATGTGCAATTTATAGAGGAAATTGGCCTACCGTAACAAGAAATGCGCGCAAAGAATTTGACAATTTTAGGCACTTTCAGAGGATGCATTTGTCAAGGGGTGGAGAAAGATTTTCCAAAGATGGATATTTTCCCCTTGCCCCCCGGTGTTTTTAATTCTAATTTCGTTGGAATTGATCAAAACTCCCTAAAATGTGCAATTTTTAGAGGAAATTGGGCCATGTTAACAAGAAATGCGCGCGAAATTTGAGGTTTTTAGGCACTTTCAGGGGATGAAAGGGCATTTATAAAGGGGTATGGAAGATTTTTTCAAAGATAGATATTTTCTCCTTGTCCGAAAACCGGAAGATCTGACGGGTATGGACGGCGAAATCATTCTCACAGAGTACTGCGAGGAGTATCCTCCGCAGCTTTTACAATTTGGCATGGCAACTAGGCTTTTAAACTATTTATAAAAGGGTGAGTTTTTAGTTTGTTTAACATGTTCACAAAGTAAATGTTTGAATGCTTACTAAACTAGAGTGGCAATGTAACAGGGTGCCTGCTTTTCAATTCTTGGGTCTTAGGTTCAAATCATGTGGAGTGTGTATTTGAGAGAGCAGCTTAGCTTTGTTGGCTAATCTGGTGGTAGCCACTGTGTGTGCGCTGAACCGTGGAGATCTGTAGGTCCCCTGTTCAATTCCCATCGCTGCCTCTCCTTGTGCTTCAGCTAGAAGGCTGAAATACAAGTTACACTATCGCACCGTCTTCCAGATAAGACGTTTAAGCCATTGGTCCTGTGTGCATTTATGGCCCATGTGCACGTTAAAGAACGCAGTACACTCTTCGGAAAAGAGTAGGGGATTGTCTCCCGGTGTACTGTCCAATCACCACCAGAAGGACCCCACTGGACACCGAATAAATTCAATCCAATCCAATCCAATCCAATTCATCACAATAAAAAAAATCCTGTGCTTTAACCTCATAGGGACACTTACATTATCTTTATTGGACCACTTTTATAAAGTCATTTGCAGTTCTTGGTCAGTATGACTAAATAAATAATGAATGAAATGAATAAAGTTAACAGATTAAACTGTTGTAATGTCCTTTTCAAATTCCATTCTAAAAATGTTTATTATATAAAAACACTTTTTTTCTTTTATATTAGTAATTTCATTTAATTATAAAGCCAGGCTTTTGAGGAAAAGCAAATTTTGATACGGTGTACTACTGATTTTTAAAATGGTGTTTGACAAAAAACTTGGAAATGGTTAATGAGATAAAGATTTTAGAATATTTAAAACCTCTGGGAAAAAGTTTTTAAATATTATTAAGGGGTCATTCACAATTATCAACAAGTGTACAAACAGTACTCTTTTTCGGTATCCCCTCGCTCCCCTCTGAAAGCGTACAAAAAATGTTGATTTTGCAAAACCATTCTCCATTTTTTTGTAAATTCAACTAAAGTAATGTACATGGTTGCTTAAAAATGAATATTATATCCATGTTTACATTTTTATTTTACCATTATTGAACATAATTTTTATACATATATGTAAAAATGTAAAATTTGTCTACCCTCTCCTTTTAAGCATACTGTTTGTACACTAGTGAAAATGTAGAATAGTATATAATTATGAAGGTTATTATAATTTTTCAATCTTCAGAAACCTGGAACTGATGCAAAGCCACCATCATTTGATTATGGCGAGACAACATTTGTACACACCTCCCCATTCCTCGGAAACATCCCCCCTGGCACCTCCCTACAAGCCCTTGAGAACAACCTCTACCGCACCCCGATATACACAGACAAGATGCCGACTACAGAATTCTTGGTGATTAGAACCTTAACACAATCTTCACTGTTGGGCAGGAATGCCCTTTGATGGAAGTGCCCGGACCAAACTCCAAGAAAGCTAATAATCAAGAGACTTCCTACAGGTAAGTTCTGTCCACACTATCAAATAGCATCCTCATTCTTTTTTCACTCTTAAGATCTGTCCACACTTGCAAATTTTCTTTGACAAAAAAACTGTTGTATGCCATACATAGTCATGATGTGCCTATATATAGTCATGATGTGCCTATATATAGTCATGATGTGCCCATATATAGTCATGATGTGCCCATATATAGTCATGATGTACCTATATATAGTCATGATGTGCCTATATATGGTCATGATGTGATGATGTCATGTTTTTGTCAAATAAAATTTGATAGTCTGGACAGATCTTAATTATACCATTTCTATTTTTTTTATTAGAATTTAGTCAGAAGCAATTTAGGTTGGAGTATCTTGTTTCAGTGTTACTGCTGTTTAGATTTACATAATTGATTTAAGATTCCTTAACTATTATGTGTCTATATATAAAATAAACAGAAATTGTTTATGCTTGGTAGATAAAGTAACATTAAAAGGACAAACAACAAAGATTCAATATATAAAATATTTAATAGTGAAAGAGTACAGAAGCTTATCTTTTAACTCTGTATTCAGTGTTCAGTGACAGCAGCAACATGAGTAGTTTCCTCTGTTTAAACTGTTCCCTTTTCTTTTTGTTTTTAGGTTTTTATATATCGATTATTTTACAAGAGCAAAGACAAGATCAAGCGCATTAAGATGGAGGACATTAAGAAAGCCTTTCCAACACATTCTGAAAGTAGCATCAGAAAAAGGTTAAAACTATGTGCAGACTTCAAGAGAACAGGTAAGAAATGATATTAATTTCATTCCTTTCAATGCCAGGGTCCTGGGTTCAAATCCTGTGACTGTACAGGATTTTTTTTTCTTACAACTGAAAAATATCTCCTCCATCTAAGCCTCATACTGAGACTTAAAACATCTTATTTAGGAGGACACCTGATTGTCAACTGACCTTTTGGGTTAATTTGGAAGAGTCACCCTGATAAATATGGTATTTTAAAAAAAATGTATTTGTGATGTGTCCCCAATAAACCTGAACAAAGTAGCAAAATATTAAAAACATCTTTTCTATCCTATAGTTGATTAGCTATAGAATAGAATACACCTTTTTGTGTTTGTTAATCGCCTTTAATTCGTAATCTTCATCATTATCATCATCATCATCATCATTATCATCATCATTATCATCAACTGTTTCAATAGGTGTCCAGGATCACTTCCAACATGAGTGGGAATAATTGTTATCGTGAATATCCTTCTGTAATTGTGTCTCTCTCGTGTGTACTCAGTCTAAACATAATTAAACACAGAAAATTTTATCTATAAATTTTGCATATCATTACTAGGAATGGATTCCAATTGGTGGGTTTTGACTTCCGTCTTCCAACTGAGGAAGAGATGAGATCAGTGGTGACCCCAGAGCAGTGCTGTGCTTATTATTCTTAGAGGTTAAAGGTTAGTAATAAAAAGCCCTGTACAGGCAATCAAATATGTGAGGTCTCACCACAAAATGAGTCTCATGGTTGGATAATCAAAAATTGAGTTTATATTATATTTGGGTAGATCACGTTATAAGCTTTCATTTGGTCTTTGAATAGCTTCCCTACTATAAGTAAATCCAGAGATGTGAGCATTTAACATTAGGTATATAAGAACCACATTTTGAGAAAATCAGCCTCAAAGATAAACTAACTTGTACAAATAATATGGCTAGAATTACAGAATATGTGCAGATAACACTGTTTTGGCAAGAAAATTCACTTACAAAGTATACAATCATAAAATATAAGTATCAAGTTATTCAAAAACATTAAAATCAACATTTTGGTGAATATCTCAATATGATTTCACCTACAATGCGTCTCATTTCGTGGTAAGACCTCGCATATAATTTCACAAAAACATGTGAAACGCCTAAATAAGGTCATGATGATGTCACATCATGACCATATGTAGGCACATCATGACTAAATAAGAGCATATTTTTCTGGACAGGTTAAGAAAAAACACAACTCCACAAGCAGCACAACTTCAACATGACAACAACACATTCAACAACACAATTGTTGCCATTCTATTGGACGCATCCCAACATCTAAATTTATATATTTGTTTGACTTATTAGACATTATCTTATTCTTCAATATTGTAGACTTGAGTCATTTGTATAGAATGCATTCCATTTAAAATAATGTTAGTTTTGTTTGTCTATCAATAGTTTTTCAAACTGTAGATCTCTTGTTCACCAGTTAGTATAACTCATATCTAATCATATGTTTTTTAGGATGCTGGATACGGTGAGAAATAATTCTTTGCTCCAGAAGACGATAATGAAGACAATAATGCAAAGATTGATGATGAGGTAATATACAACTAGTGCTTATCACCTTAATGTCCATCATTGGAGTTGAGTTGAAAATCTTAGTGGTTAAGATGCTTACCTTCAAATGCCAGGGTCCTGGGTTCAAATCCTGTAACAGCAGGACTTTTTCATTTGACTAAAAACAACACCACTCCCTAAGCCTCATAAAGACACTTATCAAAATGCATCACATTATTTCATTTATTTA